CCCCCCCCCAAACACCAGCTTTCGCATACCAACCAATGAGATTATTTCTTACAATCCCGCCCACCAATGAGAGCCCGTAGTAGCTGACACTTACGTCTCTTGTATCAGGGCCACATCCTCGGGACCTGTCCCATAGACATCTGGATGTGAGGCGATGCTGAGAAAGTAGCCCTTGTCGTAAGCGGGAAGACTGTCAATGCCGGACACAAGGCTCTGCCAATCAACTGCGCTCATCTGCTCCTAGAAGGGTGAAAACAAACAAAGCAGTCGGAGTGATTACGAGATGGGAGAATGGACGCGCTGTGAGGTCATCAGATAATGTCACTCTCAGAGACAGTTTTCTAATGGTTTGACAAACTGACAATCCCACTTTCACAGATAGAAAATGGTGACAAATTTACTATTATTTTTTTAAATTATAATTTTAGTTAACACTTTAAAATATGTGAAGGTGTGTGTGTGTGAGAGGGAGAGAGAGAGAGAGAGAGAGAGAGAGGGCAGAATCACACGAGACACCCTCTCCCAAGTTACCTGTATAAAATCACACGAGACACCCCTCTCCCAAGTTACCTGTATAAAATCACACGAGACACCCTTCTCCCCAGTTACCTGTATAAAATCCCACGACGGACACGAGAGACCCTCCCCCAAGTTACCTGTATAGATTCACACGAGACACCCCCCCGCCCCACGTTACCTTTATATATTCACACGAGAACCACCCACCCCCAAGTAACCTGTATAGAATCACACGAGACCCCCAACCCCTAGGTTACCTGTATAGAATCACACCAGACACCCTCTCCCAAGTTACCTGTATAAAATCACATGAGGACCCCCCCCCTCTCCCAAGTCACCTGTGAAGAATCACACGAGACTCCCTGTTATGTCACTTTCTCCGTGCCGTGAACCATGTTTGACCCCAAATTAGACTGCGTTCGTATTTGGCGTGGCCTATTTCTTTTGATCTTTTTTTTAACACAAAACAATCTGTCGCCTGCTTGTCTGGACTTGAATGTGGTACAATTTGTAGTAAATTATGGAAATTTGCAGAAGATTCGAATCACGACTACAATGTATATT